CTGGGGGGCAGAGCCTGGGGGGGCAGAGACTGGGGTGCTGGGCCATGTCCCCTCCAAGGGAGGCACCGCCCTGTTGGGCGTTGGGTCGCTTCCCCGTCTAGTTGCACCTGGAGCCCTGGGAAAGGAGAGGTCATTTCTGGTTTTGCATGACAGCCGTGACCGCGGGAAGCTCCCTGTGGATTGAATTTAGTGACTCAAACCGGACTCCATAGAGTAAAATAGAGCCCACCTGCAGAGCGAAGCCGCAGGCCGGGTTTGCCCCCCGGGAAAAGCCCTTTCGTGGGGCCGAGTCCAGCAGGTGTCCCTCTCCCCAGGGCGGCATCTACGTCTTCACGCTGCTGGACCACTTCGCGGCCGGCACGTCCATCCTCTTTGGGGTGCTCATCGAAGCCATCGGGGTGGCGTGGTTCTACGGTGAGTGCACAGGCAAGGCCGCAGGCTGTCCCCTCTCGCTTCTGTGGCTGCGCCGCTCTTTCTGGCAAAGCCACCTTGAGAAAGGTGCACTCAGGGAGCCGTGAGCGTGGTCGGCACAGCCTGGCGGAGGGAGGCCGGGCGGCGGCTGCCCCGTGGGTCAGTGGAGACAGCCCGCTACGCTGGCAGCCGAAACCACGTGTGGTCAGATGTTCGTGGGGCCGAGATGGCCTCGGCTGCCCCCGCCCTAGAGAAACCCGTGAGCCTGTCCCTCGCAGGGGACCACGGTCAGGAGGGCTGTTGGCTCCGGTGCTGTGCTACGAGGGTCGAGGCTCAAAGGTGCGTCGTGGGCTCGCACTGCTGACCAGCACCGGGCCCAGAGCACACCGGCTTTCTCATGTCCGAGGACAGTGGGGAGAGGCTGGGACCTGGTGGCCAGCGGGTGGCCCTCAGAGGGGCCGCAGCTCCCGCTCGTCTGCTGCCATGGCTGGGGGTGTCGACCATTGTGTTCTGGGACGTCCGTCCACACGTGGCTGAAACAATAACTGGAAACCTGCGCTGGAGACAGGTCTACCCTTTCCCCGTGTGCTGAGCTGGCCAAGTTATCAGACCTCGATCTCTCCCCGTTCTCTGCATAAGACGGGGTTGTGGTGCCAGCTCCACTCACCCGGCGAGTTCCTCTGGGGGTGAGCGGGGCCCACCAGGTTCGTTTCTCTAAACACGTATGTCCAGCGGAAAGCCAAACCCCATCTGTCGTGGAGCACCCCTAGCTCACCCGCACACGAGGGGTCGTTCTCTCTGCCCCAGAGCTCTGGAATTTACAACCTGGGGAAACGCCTGGCTCTGCGGGTCTCAGCCCGACAGGTAGCTCGTATTCCAAGAGCATTTTCTCAATTATACGTTCTTTTCTACAGAAAGGGGAAATGTCAGACTCTGTGCTTTCATTGGTATAGGAGTCAATAATTTGCCCATCACTTTAAATCCTAATCTCCACGCCCGACACAGACCAAAAAGAATAGATAAATAGAACCTCACAGAGAAAGGAAGAAAGTGCCAGAGACACACCCCACCGCCACGACCTGTGGGGTGCCGGGAGCTGGCAAGCGGCCCCGCCCGGCGTTCCCAAAGCCTCGGAGGACAGATCTGAGTTATTTCCCCAAACAGACTCTCATGCCCCTCTCGTCCCGGTGAAACAAAATCTGTTTCGGTGCAAGGAGGTCCCAGCGGGCCAGGGCCTGGGTGCCCATGCCCCGGTGTCACCCTCCGCGACCCGAGTCCTGCTGACAGGCGCAGGGCGCAGAGAGGGGTCCAAGTGTGAGCGTCTTTCCGACGCGGCTGGCGGCGCGTGGGACTTACCAACCCCGCCGAGTCGGAGACCGGACTGGACTCGGGGGAGAAACCACGTCCAAGGTCTCCCTGCGCTCACTGCCTAGACGTCAGCCAGCGCCGCTGAGGGAAAACACATTTCCGCAGTCGGCCACTGGGACGGGGACTTGCTTTGGGGAGAAAAAAGTTTATGAAGGTTCTAGAAATAGCTTTTCTTAAAGAAAATGGTGATTGTGCGCACACAGTAGAATACTCTTCAGCCTTAAAAAGGGCAAGAAATTCCGACATGCCATAGTACGGACGAACCTTGGGGACATTGTGTTAGTGAAGTGAGTCGGACACAGAGGACAAACCCCCTGCGGGGTCTCCAGCGTCACCAGAGCCCCAGAGACAGAGGGTGGAGGGCAGGGTGCCGGGGCTGGGGCAGGGGCCAGTGTTTTGTGGGGACAAAGCTCCAGTTTGGGAAGACGGAAAAGTTCTGGAGATGGACCACGGTGACGGTCACACAGCAATGCGAACGCTCTAAATGCCACTGACTGTGCACTCAAAGTGGTCACGCCGGGGAATTTATGTTGCGTGTATGTTACCACAGTGTTTACAAAGTAAAGAAAAATCACCGATTGCAGAGGGGAGTCGGGGACAGCGTGGGGGTGGGCAGGGTGGCGGCGGGTCCCCGTGGGGCACCAGTGGGGCGAGAGGCTGGTGGGATTCTGCGGGTCAGCAGGCGCCGGGGGTCTGGAGGGGCCCGGCCACCCTGTGGGAGGCTGGGCGCCGCCTGAGCTTGGGGCCTGTGGGGTGGACCCCCGGGGTCAGCGGGGACCCGGTGCATGGCGGGGACATGCTGCCCTGACCGGCCCTGTTCACCGCTTCTCCCCAGGTGTCCGGCAGTTCAGCGACGACATCAAGCAGATGACGGGGCAGCGGCCCAGCCTGTACTGGCGGCTGTGCTGGAAGCTGGTCAGCCCCTGCTTCCTCCTGGTAAGGGACCGCCAGCCGCGTGCCACTCCCCCCCTCTGCCCTCCGCCCCGGCGCCACCCCGAGGTCCAGCGCTGACTTGGCTCACCCCTGAGCGAAGGGAAAGCCCTGCAGGTTGGGGGCGGGGCAGGCCGCTAAATGCCACTTTGAGACGAGGGTCACCTCGGCTGGAACCAGCAGGGTCTCAGGACTCCGCCAGGAAGGGCTGCCTGGGACCTAAACTGACCTCTGGTCTCCTGAGGGTGCCTCCTACGTTCCCCCCAGATGCCCCAAGAAAACCTCACGTCATCCCAGGTGGTCTTGGACCCCCAGTAAGGTCCGAGTGAGTCCCGCACTCAGGCCACACCTGTGTTGGGGGGCCGGAGTTGGTCCAGGTGGTCCGCACACTTCTGCAGCGTCGAGACGGAATTTAGACCTTCCAGGCGGGGGTCAGCAGATCAGGGCCCCTGGCCAGATCCCCGTGGACAGGGTTTTACTGGGACATGGCCACTCCCACTCACATACAGACCGTCCATGGCTGTTTCCGTACACGGCCGCAGAGACCAGGCGGCTCACAAAGCCGGAACTGTCGGCCTGGTCTGGACAGTGGCCTCGGGCGGCTGCAGGGGGCTGGGCCGGGTCCAAGCGGAGAGTCTGGAGAGCTACTCACAGAGACCGGCACCTCCCCTGAGTCCGGCAGCCACGGGACCGCGCCTGGTGCGGGGCCGGTGACTCGGGCCAGACCTTCCTGGACCAACCCAAGGGCTAGTCCCAGGGGTCCGCAGGGCCCTGCGTGTGTGGGGACCCCAGTAAAATGCTTCGTCATTTTACATCTAATTTTAGAGCCATTGCCTGTGAACTTTGGGTTTTAGCAGAAAAGTAATTTCCATGTTATCTCATGTTGTTTGACATACCGTGCGGGCCCCTGCCCTCCAGCACGAGTTAACATGTGACTGTGAGCAGGCAGCACGTGCTCCAGGCCGGTTTTACACGGCTTCTGTGCCAGGTTACAGATGACGGCCAACAGACATGTAAGGCTGTGGCCTCGGTGGTCACAGTTCTTTCTAAGACGTGTGACATCCAGTGAGAAGTTGAACAACGCAAGAAAACGCACGACAACAATACCAACATGGCAACATTCAACTCACACACGTAGGGAGATGCAGCTTTTTGAACATACTGAACATACCTGGGCAGCCCAGACAGACGTCGCCAGTCCGAGGCGCTCTGGCCACCGCTTTGCTCACAGAGGAGCCCGGGGCCCTTCCCTCCGTGTGTGAGACCGTCCTGGAGCCCACCCGGCCCTCCGGCCGGCCCCAGCCCTGGAGTCGGCTCACAGCGACTCATCCAGAGGAGGTCGAGGCTGGCGTCAGAGATGCGTGTAAGGTGGAACGTGTGAGCGCTGAACTTTTCTGAAGTTGAGAAAAATTGACAACGAGTAAAAATTTGCATTTTAAGCTACATCATAAACCACATTAGAGCTTCCTTTGCCTCCTCAGGATGGACCCATCTCACCCAGGTATGCAGTACCTGTTTAGGTATGTGCACATGTAGGTACGTAGTACACACGTAGGCATGCAGTATACATGTAGGCATGCAGTACACACGTAAGTACACAGTACACAAGTAGGCACATGGTCCACATGTAGCTATGCAGTACACATATAGGCATGCAGTACCTGTTTTGGTATACAGTACTCATGTAGGTACACAGTACACATGTAGGTGTGCAGTACACACGTAGGTACTCAGTACACATGTAGGCATGCAGTACACATGTATGCATGCAGTACACATGTAAGTACACGGTACACATGTAGGCACATGGTACACATGTAGCTATGCAGTACACATATAGACATGCAATACCTGTTTCGGTATATAGTACTCATGTAGGTACACAGTACACATGTAGGTGTGCAGTACACATGTAGGTATGTAGTACACATGTAGGCATGCAGTACACATGTAGGTATGCAGTACACATGTAGGCATGCAGTACCTGTTCAGTATACAGTACTCATGTAGGTACACAGTACACATGTAGGCATTCAGTACACATGTAGGTTCGCAGTACACATGTAGGTGTGCAGTACACATGTAGGCATGCAGTACACATGTAGGCACACAGCACACATGTAGGCACGCAGTACACATGTAGGCATGTAGTACATGTGTAGGTATGCAGCACATGTGCAGGTTTGCAGTACACAGCTAGGTATGTAGTACACATGTAGGTACACAGAACATATTCATAGCTACATGGTACCTGTCGAATGGATGGATGGATGAATGAATGAGCTGCATCGAGAGAACTCTCCGGAGAATGAAAACCTGTCCCTTTAAGTGGCTTCCTCCCCACCCTCTGCTTTGGGGCAGTTGCCCTCAGGTGGTTCCTAGAGGAGATCTGAGAGTTTACCGGATTTGCTTCCAGAAAGAGCACAGCGACTCCGCCCGGCGTCCTGGGGCTCATGCGGGGCGCAGAGCCAGCGGATGGGGTGGTCCGGTTGGTTTTGATTTCAACAGAGACTAGAACGGGATGGCAGAGAAGAGGCCTTGGCCCAGAGGACGTTGTCTCGGCGGCAGGACGGCCACCGAGGTGCCCGGGTGCCCAGCTGTGGGCCTGGCCGGGGTCTGGCATGTGCAGGGCCCAGGGGCCGAGACCCCCCGACGTGCCGCCTGACCCCTCCGTGTCCGTTGTTTCAGTTCGTGGTCGTGGTCAGCATCGTGACCTTCAGGCCCCCCCACTACGGAGCCTACATCTTCCCCGCCTGGGCCAACGCGCTGGGCTGGGTCATCGCCACGTCCTCCATGGCGATGGTGCCCATTTACGCGGCCTACAAGTTCTGCAGCCTGCCCGGGTCCTTCCGAGAGGTGAGTGTCGGGGCGGGCCCTTCACCCCCAGGGAGAGGCCAGCAAGGCGCAGGGTGTCCACACCCAGGGTCTGTCCCTGCCTGGGAGGTGGCGGCCACCATGATGGGGAGACAGGGGGGAGGGGCTTGTGTGTGCGTCCACACGTGTGTCTGTGTCCATGCGTGTCTACATGCGTCTGTGTCATGTGTCTGCATGTCCACATGTGTGTCTCTGTGTCCACACGTGTCTGTCATGTGTGTGCATGTCCACATGTGTGTCTGTGTCCGTGTGTGTGTACGTGTCTGTGTATGCTCATGTGTCTGTGTGTCTGTGTCTCTGTGTGTGCATTTGTGTACCTATATATATCAATATGTGTATGTGTGTCAGTGTGTCTACGTGCATGTCTGTGTGTCCACGTGTGCCTGCCTGTGTCTGTGCACATATGCGCCTGTGTGTATGTCCACTGTGTCCACGTATCTGTGTGCGCTGTGTGTCCGTGTCTACATGTGTGCCTGTGTCTGTGCCCACGTGTGTCTGGACGTGTTTCTTTGTGTGCATGTGCGTGCCCCATCTGAGAGCAGAATCCACGTGCCCTCAGGGTCCCAGCCCCCTTGGCCGAGCAGGGGCAGCTCTGGGGCCTCACCCGCCGCAAGTTCCCTTCTCTGCCTCGGTTCTGCCCTTCGTGTGAGGAGGGGAGGGGAGCGGTCCCCGTGTGACAGCCTGGCTCTGTGGTTCCGGGAAGACACGAGGACACATCGTCCTTGGAAGGAACGTCCCTCCCCGAGAAGCCACCCTGTGCTCAAATCCCACAGTCTTTCCTGGAAACAGTGCCTCGGCCCTGGGTAACCAGCCCGTCTCTGCACCCGGCTGGGTCCAGGGATCCACCTGAGGGCCACACGGTGTCCCCTGGGCTCACACGTGCAGCAGGTGCCCCCTGGGTGGCTCGAGCCGGTCCCCCAGCAATCGGCTGGACCAGGGCCTGTGGCAGGCACAGCAGCGTGTGGCCAGGCTGTGGGGCCTCTCTGGAGGGGACGGGCCCTGGGGCTGCCATGGTTCCAGGAAAGCCTACGGGATCCCGCTGCGGACGACCCCCCGCGTGGTCTCCACCGCTGGCCTCCAGACCCAGCCCAGGGAAGAGCATGTGGCCGGGCAGGCCCTGCGTGGAGTTGGCCCCTCTGGGTGTCCACGAAAGACTTGGGAGGAGGGTCCCCGGTGAGCACGGAGCCTGGATGGGGCCCTGTGGCAGCGATGTGGGTTAGAACCACACCGGGGAGGGGACACCTGGCCTCCCTCAGAGACAGGGGTCCCCAACCCCGAGTGTGGGCTCCTGGGAGATGCCGCCTGCTCCCAGAGGACTAGTGACTTCCAGCGCCCCGCCCCCGCCGGGAGCCATGGCAGGCGGTGGAGGGAAGGCAGGCCAGTGTCCAGGGCTGGAATGTGGCAGACAGCAAGGCCCCTGGAAGCTGTGAGCTGCCAGGCACCAGGCCTGGGCGCTCTCTCTCAGAGCCCCCCACACGCGGAGCTTAGAGACAAAGCCACATCCAGGACGGCTTTTATTTCAAGTGGGGGTTTGATGATTGATTTTCCGCCCTGCGCTGGAGGACTGTCAGCTTCCCAGTTTGCCCACATGTTGACCCCGAGGGGAGCCCGCTCAGCCCAGGGTGCGGGCCGCCGTGGGCACTGGGGTGTGCACTAGCACCAACCTCTGTTCTCTTTTAGAAACTGGCCTACGCCATCACGCCCGAGAAGGACCGAGAGCTGGTGGACAGAGGGGAGGTGCGCCAGTTCACGGTGAGGCTGCTGTCCCCGCTGGGCCCGCAGCAGGAGAATTCAGAATGACCCCAAGAGCAGCGTCCTTGTCCTCAGCCGCTCCTGCAGCGCTCAGAGCTCGGAGGCTGCGCGTAGACCGCTCTCATTTCCTCAGTCAGCACGCGCTCCGTGAGCACACGCGTGCCACGCGGCCCTGGGAGCCCTGCGCTGAGGACAGGCGGCTCGTGGGCAGTGGCGTCGGTGCAGGAGTGGAGAAGGCGGGGGGTGCGTCTGCCGGAGAAGGCGGGGGGTGCGTCTGCCCAGGCACCTGCCGGAGGGAGGGGTCTCGCAAAGACAAAGATCTGGGCGTGTCCGGCCACAGCCGCAGTGCCCCGAGGGGCAGCAGGAGACATGAGGGAGACGGTGCGGGGACCGGCAGGGGCCTGGAGCCGCCCAGGAGGGAAGTGGGGAGGGGTGGGCTCGGGCAGCTCTGGGGCCAGTCCAACATCCATCGGGACCCCGGGGGCCCAGGGGAGGCTCTGTGAGAGAGTGGTCACGCCAGGCCTTCCTGCTCTTACCTGGGGGCCACCCAACTGCGTGTGCATGTCAAGCATGGTCCTTGTACACGGTAGAGCAGGCACATTTTGGGGGCAAAGAGTAAACGTTCGACACATTTAACTCCCATGACCCCAGAGGTAGCTCAGCGACTCTCTCTATAAAAAGGGGGCCCTGAAGCCCAGAGAGGCTCCGGAGCACACCCCTAGTCACAGAGCTGGTGGGCAGGAGGTGAGCCTGGGTGGGGCTCTGGGCATGTCTCGTCTGTCCTCCTCCCCTGCCCCACGAGATCCCCACCCCCGCACGCGGATTTCAGAACACAAACGTCAGCCAATGCTTGGCGGTCCCGTCCTTCCAGGGACTCACACAGCACCCGGCAAGCTCTAGGCGTGGTGGGCCGGGCAGGCATGTGGCACTTAGAGTCCAATTCAGTGAGCACAGAGAAAGCTGTGGGTGGGAGGACGCCTGGGCCCCATCCCGACCCGCCCTCCCCACTGGCCACCTCCCTGTGCCACGTCAGGGACCACAGAAGCAGTCCTCCCAAGTGGGGGTCTGATGAGGACCTGTGTTTCGCACTGGGAGTGTGGGCAGGGGTGGAGGGAGGTGGGATGGTGAAGACAGGCCAGGACGCAGTGCCGGACAAACGGCGTGGAGGAGGCGGGGAGAGTGGCCGTGGGGCAGCTGCGGCCTCCAATCCACTGGCGCATGGCTGCGCCTGCTCCTCTCCCTGACAAGTCGGCGCTGGTGCAAGCCCCGCCTCCCTGCTCCTCCCTCAGCACCCCCTTCTCTGCCCTCCCAGCGACTCACTGTTGCTGACACAAGAGGGGTGTGCAGCCCCCAACCCTACCTGTCTGGGGCCCAGCCCTTCCCCGCCGGCCTCCCGCCAGCTCAGTTGGAGCCTCTGTCCTCTGACAGCCCTTTGCCCAGGGTCGCGCTGTGTCCAGCGTTTCGTCAGTCCTCGCCAATGCCCAGCTCTGACGCTGTGCGGGATTCTCACTTTACTCTCCAGCTTGCTAACCCCGGCTCCTGTTTCTGTTTCTTCCTTCTGCTTTCCTTGGATCTACTCTGCTATATTTTTGCTAACTTTTTAATTTGGACCTTAGAGCATTAATTTTCAACTTTTATTCTTTTGTAACACAAACATTCAAGGCTATGAATTTCCCTCAAAATACCCCATCTGCTGCATTCCACAACATTTTACATAGTGTTTTCTTTATCTTTTAGTTCTAAATATATTTTGATTTCCATTGTGACTTCTTTGATTCATAACTTGCTTAGGAGTCTGCTTTTAAATTTCCAAAAACATGGAGATGTTTATCTTTTGTTATTAATTTTTAAGCTAAATTGCATTGTGCTCAGACAGCTATATCTACTCTTTGAAGTGTATTGAGACTTCTTCATGGCCTTGTACCTCATCAACTTGGGTAAATGTCACACACATCTTTTGGATGAATGTGGATTCTCTATCGTCCACATGCAATTCCGCTTCTGTCCACACGATTGGCTTGCATATTGATAGTGTTGCCTAAATCTTCTACGTTTTGTTGATCTTGCGTCTGCTTGGCTGTTGGTGATTGGGGATGTTCGTGGCATGTTCTACCTTAGAGCATATTTGTCCAGTTTCTCCCTGTGGTCGTATCAGGTTTTGCCTCACAGAGCCTGCGGCTGTTCTCTGAGGTGGACACACGTCTAGAAAGATCCCCTCCCCAGTGAGGAGTTTGCTCTTATAGTCCGCTTCATCTGAGATGAATATAGCTGCACCGGGAGTCTTTTGAGTCTGCCTGGAATGTCTTTTGCAATCCGTTAACTTTGAGCTTTGCAGTGATCTTAAGATGTAGGTGTCTTCTGCAAACAGCGTGCACTGAGAATTTGTTACTCTGACAATTGGCGGGTTGATCCATTTACATTTGTTGTGATGATGGATGTATTTGAACTTGATTCTATTACATTTCAATTCTATTTGTCCCATTTTTAATGCGTATTTTTCTCTTTTATTGCCTTTTTATCGAGTGATTTTTTTGGCTTGTTTTCACATTCTTATTTTTGCTTATTTCTCTCTACTTGTTTGAAACTTACACACTTCATTCTGTGCTTTTAGAGTTACCCTTGATGTGGTACCATACAAATCTCACTTAAAGTCTAACGTTAAGCGATATCTCAACTCCCATTCTGAATATGACAAGGATTTAAACCTTCCTCCTACTGATTAGTATTTCTGAGACAGAGTCTCACTGTGTTGCCCGGGCTAGAGTGCCATGGCGTCAGCCTAGCTCACAGCAACCTCAAACTCCTGGGCTCAAGTGATCCTTCTGCCTCAGCCTCCCGAGTAGCTGGGACTACAGGCATGCACCACCATGCCTGGCTAATTTTTTCTATATATTTTAGTTGTCCGATTAATTTCTTTTATTTTTAGTAGAGACGGGGTCTCGCTCTTGCTCAGGCTGGTTTCGAACTCCTGAGCTCAAACAATCTGCCCGCCTCGGCCTCCCAGAGAGCTAGGATTATAGGCGTAAGCCACCACGCCCGGCCAGTATTTCTCTTTTTAACCCACAAATTAGGCACTATTGTTGCCTTTATTTTTATTATTTTGTATAGACCGTGCTCCTTAGATTAGTGCACCTGTTTGGTGTGAGGTGGCTGTTCACACTTTTGGGTACAACATTTTTCCTTCTGGGATCATTTTCTTGCTGTTCAAAAAAACATCCCTCAGACGTTCTTTTAAAGAGGTCTGGTGACAGACTCCCTTGCATCCGTGGACTCACAGCCTGGGTGGCAGTGACGACTCAGCACCTGGAGACGTCAGTGTGCCGTCCCCTGCCGTCCCGAGATGTGCCCTGCCCCCACACGCTGGGCTCCTCTGCCTGTGGCGCTGCAGGGTCACTGAGACCTTTGGCTTCTCTTTCTGCATCTTCCTGAGCTACGTCGTATGTCCAGGATCCATGGATTCATTTTGTTGTCAGCTCTGTGACTTTTGTGGCCACACTTTCAAACATCACCTTTTCCCTCTGTGAGTCGTCCCTGCTGAGCCCCGGCATGTTCGCTGCGCCACGTCCCCTCTGATCTCTCGCCTCGCTCAGGTTTTCTTTGAATTCGAATAACACGCACACAGCGGCATGCGCACTCTCGTCGGGAGTCCCCGCGAGCTCATGTTTGCATCTGTCTGCACGACAGAACACTCCCTTGAGCACGGCCACGTGGGACGAAACACGGTGGCAACTCGTGTGTCTCCCTGCCGGCCCCGGCCCACCTGCCCCGGAGTAAATCTCCTTCATCTGGTGCTGACCCTCCCCAGGCCATTTCACTGCATGGTTCTGTTGCATATTTGTGTACACACACACACACACACACACACACACACGCACACACACACACATGTGTATGTTCCTTAAAAGTGTACTATTTGGTTTCAGTTGTTTTTAACTCTATTTAAAAAGCTGCTAAGTCTTTTGGATGTGCTTGTCCACCGTGTGCAGAGCTGGGCGTCTGCCCACGTGTCTCACGACCACAGCCCACCGAGCCACTGAGCTTCTGTGACCTCTGAGTCTACAGTTTCTGTCCAATTTGGAAACTGGTCATAATTTCTTCAAATATTTTTTCTGCCCCACCCCCTTCAGGGATCCCAACGGCACACACATTGTGCCGCCCACGGTTCTCTCACACTCGTGGGCGTGTGCGTGTGCCTGTGCGTGAGTGTGCACGTGTGTATGTGCCTGAGCGTGAGCATGTGCATGTGCGTGTGCCTGTGTGTGAGCGTGCACATGTGTGAGTGCCTGAGCGTGAGCACGTGCGTGTGCGTGTACCTGTGCGTGAGCGTAAGCGCGTGCCTGCTCTCCTCTCCCTCTCTGTTCTCTCCTCTACTGCACACGCCCTACCGCAAGCCTCGGGAGCCTGGTGCTTTCCGTCCCTTTCTCTTCTCTTCACTTCTTCTCACTCACGTTTTCTCTGCAACGTCTGCCCTGCCGTTGGCACCGCCCGGCGTGTTTAGCGTCTCACGCTTCACGGCTTTTCCTCTAGAAGCTCATTTTGGATCTTTTCATGTCTTTCGTGGCTTCACTAAACTTTGTGAACATGGGACAGTGGTAATAATTGTGCCAATGTGCTGGTTTTCACATTTGCGTCAGTTCTGGGCCAGTTTCAGCTGATTGGCTTTTCTCCCTCGGAATCGTGTTGACATTTTACTGTTTCTTCGCCTGCCCGGCGATTTGCGGTTGTGTGCCGGATGTTGGGGTTTCACCTTCGTCAACGCTGGATACCTCTGTGTCCCTTAAACATTCGTGGGCTTCGTGCTGGACGTAGCTTCGTCACGCAGGAGCAGCCTGATCCTGCGGGCTCCTGTGTCTCGAGGCTTGCAGGTGGCATCGGAGTAGGACTCGGTGTGGCCAATCGTCCCCACTGAGGCAAGACCCTCGTGAGCAACCACGTGACGTCCTGCGAGTCACGCGGCTTCCCAGCCGGCCGGCGGGAGCAGGGGCTGTACCGGACCCTGTGCAGGCTTCAGAGGTTGTTCCCTCCGGTCCTGTCAGCCCATGGGTCCTGCACAGCTGTCCTGGGTCTTCTCTGTGTGGCTGTCCCCTCTCTGGTCCTCTGTCCTACAAAATCCAGCCACCTCACTCTCCCCAACTCCCATCTCTAGCCCCTCAACTCGGGGAGTCCACAGGCGCTGCGAGGGCTCCCCTCCCGTGCTGCATCTAGAGCCCCCCGGAGCAGCGGGCGGGCAGCTGGGTGGCTGTCCTTGTTCATTTCTCTCAGGGGTCCCTGACTTCTGCCGTCCGATGTTCGTGTCTCGAACGCCGTTGGCACACGCGTTTTGTTACCTGGGTTGTTCTAGACAGTGAATTCTGTCCCTGTTGTTCCATCTTGACCGGATCGTCTTTGCGCATCGCTGCTCGGCTGCGGGTCATCCTCCTGACCCTCAGGTGAACAGACCTAATTGAGCTGGTTCCCCCCTCATGCCCTCTTTACTGTAACATACTTCGCCAACGGTCGTATTCTTACTTCATCTCTGGAAGGCGCGTTTGGTCTGCCTGTGTCCTGTGAGATGCACGTCATTGTCATTTGCATACGGCACCTTTCAGATATCCCCTGTGCGGCCACCCTGCGACCTAACTGTGCAACGTCTCTGGCCCTTGGAGTCGCTTGAAGTCTGGCCGCTGTCTGGTGTTTCTGGTCTGCCTCATTTGGGAGTTTATAGCTGGGCCCTAATCTGGTGGAATCTTGAGTCCCCAAACACACCCCCCCCCCAGAGAGGGTCACTTTTTGCTCCTGTCGGTGGCCAGGAGAGAGGACCGTGGGCTGGGGCTGAGCTGATCTGAGGCGGGGCTGTCACCCGGAGCTGCCATTCCGGGGCTCTGGGCCCTGCGCCCCTCCTGGCTGTGTCCCCAGTCAGGCCCTGCCCGCGGGCCCCGTTCACTGCACCCCACTCCGCACCTGGACTCCGCCTGTGCCGGCACCACCCGCGGCTGCTCCAGACCCCGCAGCCCCCAGCCCACGGCACGGTCTGTGCTGCCCAGGCCAGAGGAAGCCCCTGCAGGCTCTCCCGGTGGGGTGGCCCAGAGAGCCCTGCCGTGTGGCCAGCGGTGCCTTCGGCCACTTCCCACCTCGGTGCGGCCGTGTCGGAGGCAAGCCCTGCATGCCCTTGTTTTGAAAATGCTCATAAAACCCAGTTCTTGCCGTTTAATGTCACCAAATGGCTTGTGCTCAAAAATAGGCCAAACCAACAGCTGCGTGATAGCGGCGGTGACATTTGCCGACGTCTAAATACTGCTCTTGTGTATTTCGTCAGTCCGGGCTCAGCGCGGCCGCTCTCACCCCATGTGGGTCACACGGAGCAAGGTGCAGCTGCACACGCAGAAGGGCAGGGAGGGGACGGCGCTCGGTCACACGGGAGCTGGCGGGCGTGGTCCGGGACCAGCCCAGCGTCTCCCTGGCCCAGTAGCTGACCTCAAACATGCCTTGGGGCCACCACGGCCACCGCGGCCATGCGCCGGCCACACACTCACACCTTCTCTTTATCAAGCAGTGGTGTCTTTATGGAAGTTCAAATCAGGCATCGGGCAGGAGCGCGTTGGCCGTGCCCTCCACGAGCTGCCCCGTGGGCAAGTGTCCGTCGCCCACCAAGGCCGCCGAGCCACGGGAGGGGTGTCAGAGGCCCAGGAGCCGCCTCTGTCCGCGCAGCCGCTCTCTTCACTTCTGATTAAACCTGTTCTCTTTCAGCTCCGCCACTGGCTCTTGGTGTAGCATGGAGCCGGAGGAGACCACGGGGGCATCTCGCCACGGGAGAAGCTCGAACGAAGAACGGGCCTACGTTTCCAGAGCGAGGACGGCTACCGCTCCTCTTTAGCCTGCGCTTCACTGGGAAAACAAATGACGAGGCGTGAGGCTTTTATCTTCCGACTGTTTACACCCTTTCCGTACCACGGCCGATGCCTCGCTGTGTCCGTCCTGTTCTGTCTGTGCGAGGCCGCTCCCTCCCCCGACTCCGTGGCCACGCGGGGCAGACCGGCTGTCGCCTGTGCTCTGAGGGGCCGCGTCCTGTAGATACGCTGTGCTGAGAACCCCTGTGCTCACAGCTGCTTCCTGCGTCCTTTATTTCGCTCATGTTAAAAAAGCCAAGTACCCTATTTTGTCCAATTGTGCAGAAGGTGAGGTGGAAGAAACCGCTAATATGTGCAAAGTCCTTTCCCGTCACTCGGCCCCGTGGACCGGCGTGGGCTGCCTCCGTCCTGCCTGCCGTGGGTTCTCCTGGTGGCCTCACCTTGGACGCCCAGGCCGCAGAAGCAAGCGTGCTCCAAGCCGAGTGTGTCCCTTCCCTGCCACACGCACGGCCGCCTGGGCAGGCAGCCTGGAGACCGCCCTGCTCAGCCCGGAGCCGGGAGTTCGGGAAAGAGTCCACCGGGATTTTATTTCTCTCAGGTGCACGTCGCATCAAGAACGCTTTTTACGTTGGCAGGATGGCTTTTTAAATCCTGCCACCTGTGAACCCAGCTGACTCCAAGAACGCAAGGCTGGGTCTGCCGCCTGCATGCTGACGTTGCGGTCTTGTCCGCAGGCACTTTCAGCAACGCCGCGTGGCGACCGTAGGTGAGAACTGCTTTCCGTGGGCACGGCCTGCCCGGAGGGAAGTGCGGTTGTTGGGGTCCGTGGCAGGCAGCCACGTGGGCCACTCTGCGCTGCCCTTGCGAGTGGCCGTGGGTGCAGGGACGGGAATTCGACGCTGTGGAAACCGTCAGCCTGTTGCTGCGAGATTGTCCCCAGCTACCACCGAGCGAAGAGGGCCCGCCATGTCCACGTGACCTGTGGCAGGACAGCCACCGCCGTCGCTGAGAGCGACTCGTGTAGAAAACCAGGTGGGGTCCACGTCCGCGTCTCCGTAGTCAGTATCTCCTGTGGGTCCTTGTGGACAATAAAAGAAATCTCTGTTGGAAAAATGACCTCGGCCTCCTTGCCCCGTTTGTGCTGGGCCAGCCCGGCGGCCACGCGGAGGAAGGTGCCCGCTGCCCTGTACCCCTCCTGCACCTGGCGCCGACCTCCCCGTCTCCCCATTGGGCCTCCCCCAAAGCCCAGAGCAGGTGCACCCGGGGGTAGGTGTGCTGGGTGTGGCACCACCCTGGGTCCACGCCCCGCGGGCTCCCGTGGAAGCGTCTGGACCCTGCTTCATTTCCCGCCCACTCGCTCAGGCGGAACCCGGCGCCATCAGCCCGCCTCCCTCCGCCTCCCCCTCCCGGCAGCCTCCCTGCGGCGGCCCATGCGTCCAGACTCCAGCCACACCGTCTGACCAGCGTCACTGCCCAGCCCACGGTGTCCCAGGTGGCTCCTGGCCGTCTGTTTCCAAGGGGCTCTCAGCCACCCTGTGGCCAAAGGGTCCTTTGAGACACTGACAGAACAGGCCCCAGCCCAGAGCGAGCCCCTGTGGTTAGGAAACCCTAACAATGCCCAAACAGGACCCACGGCAGGACAGCACCCCCAGCCCTGCCCCCAGCCAGGGCGTCCCTCCGGCACCCCCACATTGAGGGCTGCACACTGCACCCCACACGACTCTCATCCCAGGTCCGCAAAAGGACATCACTGCTTTGCCCTGTGGGTCTGGGGTCATTCCGTGGGCTCAGCCCTGAGGACACTGAGCTTCAGGGGCTCCTGTGCCACGGCCGCGATGCCAGGTCAGCTGCGCAGGGACCAGGGGCTGGGAAAGAACCAGCCGAGACCACGGGGTGCTGGGCAGCTGAGGGGCCCCCGCCAGCCCCAGCAAAGCCAGAGGCACAGCGGCCAGGGTGGGGGTCCCAAGCACGGGAGCGAACCCCCTGGGAGCAGGCGCCACGGATGGCGCCGGTGGAGGGAGCAGCCACCGCACACCCTGGCCGGCACCAGCCCCGCCGCGTGGCTGCCCACAGCCCACGGGCTCCATGGGCCACCAAAACAGCACGGCCCAGGTCCATGTGGGGTCCCCGTCCTGGCTGATTTGTTCCAGAGATGCCCAAGGGAGGTGAGGGAAGGGAGGCCGGCACCTGAGCATATGAGGGACCCTCAGGCCAACACGGACGGGACAGACAACCCAGCGCAAGATGGATGGCATCTCTGGGGGATGTCCAAGCGGGCGGTGAGCCTGGGAAACACGCCCACCCCGTTAGCTACTGGGGAAAGGCAGCATGGAACCCAGGCGACGCCAGCTCACACCTGCCGTGCCCGCTGAACTTAGAAAACCGCCGCCCTGGGTGTGGGCGCGTGGGCAGCAACCCGCCCAGGCGTTCCGCGTGGAGTAGCACGGCCTCGGGGAAAGTGCTCGGCTGTCTGGCAGCCGCTGCTGGGGCCCTGGCCTCATCACGTGGGAGCCCTTTGTCCTCAGGTGTGGCCTCACAGCTGCTGCAGGTGCCACCCGAACAGCTCACACCTGGAAGTGTCCCAGGCCCTGGACGGGGAGACTGGGCCCCCAGGTAGAGGCCCTGGGACTGAAGCCCACCCGGGGGTGGCTGAGGGGCAGACACAGACCGACTGCGTCGGAGCCTCCCGCCCAATCTGAGGCATGTCCCGTGCTCCAGAGTCCCTGGTGGGGCCAGGAGGGGCCGGCCTGCTCCCGAGGCCACATCTGCTGTTGCCCCCTGCCTTCCCTCCCTGTCTTCTAGTTCTCTCCTGAGAGCTCCACCAGTGAGTCGGGGGCACCAGGATCCCCGCTCAGGAGTTCCCAGAGATCTGGGAATGTACTTCCATCTGAGTTCCCCGAAGATGTGGACGCCCCCAAAGCCCACGGTTCCATCCCCAGCCACGGGCCCCGCAGAAAGGTGCATGTGAGCATCTCAAGACGCAGGTGCAAGAGTATTCACGAAAGCCCAGCCGGAAACAGCAGAGCTGCATTTCCGCTCACATGAGGAAGAAGCCGGCAGCTAGCGGTATCGGCCAGTGGGGCGATGTGTTGGCCTCTGCCCCCCGAAGGGCATGTTGGAGTCCTAACCCCTGCACCTGTGAACGTGACCTTATTGAAAACAGGGTCACTGCAGGTGCCGATAGGTAAGATGAGGTCACACTGGAGTAGGGGGAACCCCAAATCCAATATGACACGGTCTACAGGAGGAGGAGACACACTGAGAGACAGGGAGGGGAGGGCCACGTGAGCTCCGAGGCAGAGATTGGGTGATGCGTCTGGAAACTGAGGCACACCAAGGACCGCCAGCCACAGGGGGTGGCAGGTGGTGGGCTTGCCCGGGTGTGAGAGAGCAGACCCTAAGGACCCCTCCCAGGCCCTGCACTCTCCTTCCCACCCCGGGACCTCCGCTTGCTCCCTCTGCCTGGATCAGTCTCCCTCCCGCTCCACTGCCCACCTTCCAGCCTTCGCCCGCTGGCTCCTGCGGCCACTCTGGCTTCCTGTGGACAGCCGTTCGGGACGTCTGCTCCCACCCCAGCCTCTAGGGCCTGGCCTCCCGTCAGTGCACCCGGAGCCCCGGTCCCCCAGGCCCCAGCAGGTGTCACGCTGAAGGGAGAGTGTTTCTTGTTTCTCTTCCCAGTGAGGCTGGGACGAGGGACTGAGCTGGTCTCGTTCACCTCTGCCAGTGTCATGAATAGGCCTGGGACAGTGGACAGTGGCACTTAATACACGTTTACAGATGGATGTGGATGATGGGTGGGTGGATGGACAGAAGGAGGGAGAGAGAGGACAAGGGAGGGAGAGGGAAAGAGGAGTGAGTAGGTGGATAAATTGATGGGTGGGCAGTTAGAGGGTGTGTGGGCAGGTGGGTGGATGGGTGGGCAGTTCGGGGGTGCATGGGCAGGTGGGCGCGCAGGGAAGGTCCTGTGTTACGTGTGAAGTCTGCCACTCTGGTCCAATCTCAAATCCCCCTGTGGGCTAGCCGTGGGAACGCCATATTTGGTATTTGTTCTCCGAGGGGAGGTTGGGCTCGTTAGCTCAAATGAAACACACTAATTTTCGAACGTCTGAACAAGGGTCCTCTGCCACCCTCCCGTGGTGCCGAGACCTTGTGCGCGGGGGAGCCCTGCCACGCCGCACTTCGCCACCGGATCTGCGCCCTTTGCCGAGTGACCTTTAGACGCGACGTCTGGGTGCCAAAGCCGGGAAAAGCTGCACGACTTTTCCTTCGAGAGAAGCATTTTAATAAAGGTTCAGCAACAGTGAGGTATGTGGCTTAGAGGGTAAACGGACTCCTCTATATTTGGCTTTTTCGTTTTTTGCTCCACAATCCTCCTTAATCTCTGCAGATTCATCTGAGCAGCCCAAAGGTCACGGCCCTCACCTGCCTCCTGATCTCCCACCTCAGAACGGCCGCCCCCCACGCAGGGTGTCCCCCAGGCAGGTGACCCCCCAGGCAGGGTGACCCCCCAGGCATGGTGATCCCCCAAGCAGGGTGTCCCCCAGGCAGGTGACCCCCCAGGCAGGGTGACCCCCCAGGCATGGTGATCCCCCAGGCAGGGTGTCCCCCAGGCAGGTGACCCCCCCAGGCAGGTGAGCCCCCTAGGCAGGGTGACCCCCCAGTTAGTGTGACCAGCCCTCCTGGTCTGTGCAGGACTAGGGGTTTGCTAGGATTCAGGACTTCCAGGGATGCTGGTCCCCTCGCTCTTGTCCTGGCTGGCCCCCTCTGCCCCGAGCTGGGGAGGGCAGAGGCCCCAGGCCAGGGCGGTAGCAGGGGCGTCTGAGGAGAGCAGGATGGGGCAGGCTCGGACCAGCTTCTCCCCACGTGGCAGCGTCGGGTGCAAACAGGAGGGCGGCGGCATGGGGTGAGCTGAGGCAGGAGCGT